GTAATGGCATCAGATATATCTGCAATGGTGCAGTGTTAGATTGGAGATGGGGAGAGGGTAAACATGTGCAGTTGATGAAGATGATGGCATTAGAAGCAGCTGTAGTAGATAAATAAGCTTGCAGAGGTTGGAGGAGGAGGAAGAAGAAGAAGAAAGATAGCTTTTAGCAGACAATATCAAATGTGAGGCCAAGTGAAAAAAAGAGAAGTAGCAAGAGAAACCATGCTGCATTGGAAGAAGATGGTCAAGTGGAAATATTCTACCCCAGTGACCACAAGTTGTACATAAAAGAAACATTTAATTACATCTTGATGACCTGTTCCTAAATCCATATACCATTAAATCCAAGTTTTTCCTACAGCTTTTGAGGAAGAGATTTGCACGGATGGATTCCATTTCCAGTTCAACATTGTATAAAGATTTTTAACAGACTTCTATAACTTATTATTTATCCCCCTTTTTATTAATTCCTGATCTTTGCTAAAATTTATACTCTTCTGTGGGAAAGTATGAAGATTAATTGAAACTATTCTACATTGGCAGTTATTAGGAATCCTAACTAATCGACATGTCCTTAAATCTAGGAAACCTAAATATTATTCTTCCTACTAAAAGCAAGAAACAGATATTCTTTTTAGTATTAATTAGATTCTTAAATATTTAAAGGCTTAATTCATAATCCATTTCTTGCTAAATTCAGGTATATTTTGTTTTCCATTACATACATCTTCCACAGACTGAGCAAAATTAGGAGGCTTAATAGATAGATAATATATATATATATATATATATATATATATATATATATATATATTATTATTCATTTGTGTGTGTGAAGTGAACATGGGTTGCTCTCAAAAATAGGATAGAAAATTTTGGTAGGTGAGCTTAAAGAGGCAATGGAAATCAGTGACAAGTCTCCAGATAGGAAGAATTTTATTGTTTAGTAAAAACTCAACTCTTGACAAGAATTGGTTGCTCACAAAACAATTGCAGAGGAAGTTTGTGTTTACAAAAGCAGCTTGTGATATTAACTGGTGTCTTCTGAGTAAACAGAGAAGAAAAAGCTACTGAGATAAAAAAAAAGATAGAATACAGAGTGAAACAAATTTTCCAGTTTACTGTGTGTGTGTGTGTGTTTTGTTTGAATATGTGCAAGACAATATTTATAACAATGATTCTGAGTTGATGGAAGAAGGAAATTCATTGATTTAATAATGAGAAACAAAAAATATTTTATATCTTGTGCAACATTTTTACCTTCAGTGAACAATAAGGTAGTTTTTTTTTAAAAAAACTTAACTTTTAAACAAAATTGGTCAATATGGTTATTTAATACCAAAAAAAAGAAAAAAGAAAATAAGTTTGATTTGAATCTAATTAGTTTTTTTATAAATGCAGATATCAGTCTGGTTTCCTCTTCCAAATTTCAGTTGTCATTAGAGATTCTCTTTACCTATTTGCCAACTTATGTGAAGCTCCATTCTTAAGAGTTTTCACACACAAAGAACTGACAGTTTCGTTGTAATACTCAGCTGTAAAACACAAGATTATTACCTCATATACAGCAGATGCTGTAATCTTTTTTGTATTCATTTTGAAATATTTTCTTTCAAATTTAAGAATTCATTTTGTTCACATGTATTTTACCTCTTTACATATAGTGTATATATATTTTAGTTTTTTAAACTTATTATTATCTAGTTAAAATTGATTGCCATATTAGTACTGATTAACAATTATGTTACACACTTAAATTCTATTTGGTTAAAATAAACTATATACACATAATGCTAAACCCAAACCACTAAAATAGACTGAGTAGTGGTGTGTGTGGTGTATAAGCATACACATGTAAGACAGCAATAAAACCGATATAAATGAATGAAAAATATTAATATTTAAAAAACAATCAATAAATCACTTTTTGATTAAATCTTTTTCTTGCATTATGTGAAAAAGTTTTGAAATTTTTTTAAGAAACTTTTCTGTGTATTAAAGTTTCTAGTTTTCAAAAAAAAAAAAGAAAAAAAAAAGAAAAGAAGATAACATGAACTTTTGCATATTTCTTGTGTGTGTGTGTGTGTGTGTGTGTGTACATTACACATACATATTCTGCAATATAACATTTGTCTTTTTTTTTTTTTTTTTTATCAATTGCACATCCTTAAAAGCCATAATATAGGCATTAGAAGTATTATCTTGTCATTGTATAATCTAACACCATGTCTTATCCAATCTGGTTCTGGTTAACTGCTTTGCTATGCAATCTATCATACAAAAGATCCTACAATATAATACCTTATCTTTGAAAATCAAGAAGCTCAAATGACAATATATTAGTGCTACCTAATTGACAGAGATGACAGAATTCAGCAAAGCCTACAAGTGGGAATTAGAATCTGTACACAATTATTTTAGCTCTAATTGGAAAACTAAATCTGATAAACTATATGGCCTATTCCAGTGTAAGAATTTTGATGCCTAGCTAAGAGGAATTAATTAATGAATGACAAATCAGTTACCATAAACTCAACAAGTAAGATTTTCAATAGCAGCCGAGAGGTTTGATGGTCTTGAATTTCCTTTTTCATCTTAAAGAAAAAATCAAATGCATATGAACCAATGTATATTTGTAAAGAAAGTGATGGATTTTTTATTTATTAAATTAATTTACTTAAATATTATTTTTCGTAGATAGCCATATTTGAGTAGATGCTCTGTTTATTTATTAAACAGTATATTTTTGTCTACCGGTCTGAACATTCGAGAACAGAGAACACGTATTTTTCTTTAAAATAATTCTTTGGGGCAGCTTGACTATAGAGAACATTACAGCCCACCAAGGTTCTATTTACACTTTTAATGAATGCACATTCCCAGTTTCAGATTTACTTGAAAGACCATATCTGCTCAGTTTTGTAATGCATCCAAAACAAAGCAATTTCTAAAGAATGGATTTTTTTGATCTGCCATTTTTATTACTTTAAATATTATTTTTACTGTATGCACATACAATATATATATATATATATGACAACTCTGAATTCAAAACCTGCAGAGGGTCGTTTGGAGACCCTGTAGCAACTACATGTCACAGGTCTCTGTATTTGGCCCTTCAAAAAGTGTGGATGGTTCTGCCTGAAACCTTCATTACTATAATCAAATCTCATGTGCTGTTGTTGGGCTGTCGGTTTCCTAGGAACTGATCTGGTTGACCCTTATACATTGTATTCGAGTATGTGTGTGTGTGTGTGAGAGAGTGAGAGAGAAAGAGCGGTTTTACTCATGCAGATGAAACTTTTACAAGAGTATGAAAGAATGCTAATTATCCAACTAGGTATATAACGAGGGTCAAAATAGTAAGACAGAGAATTGAGTTATGAATTCAATTCATTGTATTCTTTTGCATTCAATAATTCTTGAAAATATATATATATATATATTTCCTGGAGAAAACTCAAATAGCTTAAAAATGAAAAATAGAAATGTGAAATCTTATATTTGTATAATACAAATATAATTCACCTGGGAGAAGGAAAACAATTCTAAAGCCTTTTAATTATCTTGTAAAATATAAAGTATACAACTTTATTTCTCCTATAGAAAAAAAAAATATTCAATATTTTTTTTTGCTAAAGAGGTGTGCTATCCCTGTGCAATTTTTTCACAATAAACTTTAAAACTATTTAAAAGAACCAAAATTGATAGAAGATATAGTTTTATGTTTACAGCATCATATTTAAGAAAACAAATAATACCAGACAACAGTTACTTTATTATATTTTTTAAAAGAGATAATGATTAATTTCCACAAAATGAAGAAAGCACATAGCACTCATCTGTTAATTTTATCATTAATTTCCTTAAATTTGAAAAATAAAGCTATGAACATTATAGAAAACAAAAAGTTAAATTGTTTGGACTAATTTGAAGAATAGCAAAAGATAAGTTAACTTGAATCATCTTAAAAGTAATGAACCTTAAATATTAAATTATGTGGTTCATTTGTAGCATCAAACATTGAAATAAAAAATAGTTAAAAAGTAAAAAACTTCAAGTGCTACATAAAAGAGAATTTGTCAAGTTGTGTGCAAATCTAATTGTTCACTGATAATATTAAGAGTGACCAATTACAAGACTACCATAATGAAAAAGGGATGAAAAAGAATTTCTGGTTTTGGAGTCCAAATTGGTATGTTTTGATCACACTGCTTGTTTTCATTTTTTTTTTTGTGGGTAAAATTCCAAAGGCACCAAGTATAGATTCATTGTTGTTTGAGACAAATAGAAAAATGCATTCGAGCTTAGTAGTACTGCCTTATTAATTTAGGACATTTTTATCTGTCTTACATAATAACATCATATCCTTTCTACTTTTATTGATTATTATTGCCAGACATTTGGTAAACATTATTCACACTATCTTGTCACTCCCCAAATGAAGATATTAGTGATAACATTTTTCTCTATTCTTCTCTCAAGTGTCACTGTGTACAGCGTGTGCTAAATGAGGACAATAGATGACTGATTTTCCAATTCTATAAAAGACCATTCTCTAGTGTTAGCTTTTTGGAAATATTTCGCATTTCTATATAGGGATCTTTATGCAAACTTTACTTATATACAAATAGACTAGAAAGAGTAGTTATAGATGAATTAAAGTTCTCGTTTGAGCTTAAACTAAATATGTACTTATCAAGTAGATTAATAACAGTGGTAGTAATAATAGCAGCTATCAGTTGTTTTCAGTTCTGTTTACTTTTATTTTTTTTTTTATTCTCTTATAATTTCAGTCACTGGGGTAAAGCACATGACATGATGAAATGAAGCAGGAATGGGGGGTATGAGAAAGAAACCTTTCTCATAGAATTTACATCAAACTGATAGACAGGTAGAAATAGATACAGCAAAAGAGATGGACGATGACCAGAAATATCTAGACCATATCAAAAACACATATCCAGTTAGTTTAGCCAGTGGACAAATAATAAACTCACTGTCGGAATTGGCCCTGGATTCTATGCCACATGTTGCTGGGAACAAAGAATAACACAAAAATATAAGGTGTTACTGTTAAGAAAGTCATCCAAATTCACAAACAACAAAAATCAAAAAGAAAAAAAAATTAAATTCAAAAAAATAATAATATTAGTTTAATTAATAAGACATAAAGCAATCTACGCTTTGCAATTGTTACTCTGTTCCCTTTCATTTTTTTTTTTTTGCTGTTTCTTTCCAAGTTTCTGCTTCTTTAAAAATGAACACAAACCAGGTTATTGGTTAAATGTTGCAAGTTGACCTTTTCTTTTTAAAAACCAAAATACTTCGCCGTTAGTAAAACAAGGATTGCTTCTTTTTTTTTTTTTTTTTATATATATGTCATATTGTAAATAAAAATTAATTAGAACTTTTTGACAGCATTTATATATTTACTTTTTCAAAGCAAATGTTACAAAATGACACTGACAAATTCTATGTTGGAATTTCAGATGATCATAGTTATATGTGTTTCTATTCAGATCTTCAATGTTCATCTTGGTTGTTCTGGTTACATTTGTGGTTTTATCTTCTAGAGAATCAAATACATTTTAACCAATGCTTGGTTAAGAAATATCTCATTCCTAGACAGCTATGAGTTTAATTCCTGGGTTTGGTAATTCTGAAGTTCCATATTCAAGTTTAGTGGAAAAAAAAAAAAGACAAGTGACACAAAGGTCAATAAGACTGGTGTGTATTAATGGACATAAAATATACATGGAGTATAAAAAGTAATAAGAACAATCTACCTCATAAATTGAAGTAAAGATTCAATTCAAAATTCCAGGAAGATTAACACGTACAAATGGTAGATACCTGACGAAGGCCACAGAGTACACCAGCCAAAAATGTTGTCGGTATAATAACCGAGATGAGCCTGCTAGTTCAATTAGTAAAGCATATAATAATGACAAATTTTAATAAAGAAAATGTTTTTGAAAACCACCAGAGAAATATTTTTTATAACTATCTTTGTTTCATATTACAAAGTAGTTATATTGTTAAAATATATGATCCAAATAGCATGGAGACTTAGTTTATGAAAAAAAAATGTTATTGTCAGTATGTATTCTTAGAAGAAAAAAATTAAAATTTACTAGTGTGGATTTTTAAATAAATACATCTGATTTTTATGGTCCACATAATACTAATGCTATCAAAAGTTTTAAATAATGCATGTTCACAATATGATAGATTGTAAAAAAAAAAAAAAGCAATAAACTCTATTCTCTATTCAAGAAGGTCTATACGTTACCTGTGTACAACTGATGAATATTGGATATCTTGAATTACAAGATGATGGCTTCACAATAGACCAATTGATCAGGTCTGCAGGATAGAGGTGTTGATAACCATTGCAGTGCAGAAGGAGTTGCTTTTGTTTTTACAATATCAAGAGAGTACAAAAAAAAAATCCTCTTCTGTCAATAACTTAGCCATTCAATAATTAACTAGAATTTATGTTTTACTTTCTTTTCATTTTGAATAAACAATTATACCAAAATTCTGCCATTTTTTTTTTAACATGGATTTTTTCAGAAGAAAAAAAAATGAAATAAATCAATTTAGAAATATAATTATTACGGCAGAATAAAGGGCTTGTGTGAAATATTATAGATACAACTGATTTGCCGCTCTTGGAAAATTACAGCAATTGTTCATTTCAGTCTAAAATGACAATTTTTCAATTTGGAAAGACATTTAACTGTAAAATATAGATTTAAAACTTTTGTGAAAGTCACAGGAAAATATCAGGGAATGAAGAGCTCCATATTTAAAAACAGATGAAAAGTGATCATATTTGGCAGGATTTTATAAAACTAATCAAAAATCAGCATTAAGTATTTTTTTCATCTTAATTATTACTATTTAATATTTGTTTATACTGCAAAGACATCTTTCATTTTTTTTTTTTAATCTAATATTAGCAGTACATCCCAAGTCAGTTTGTGACTTTTCAATAAATCTGTTTTCTTCATTACATTGAGTCAACAAAAATAAAAAGAGGAACTGGGTATAAATATGTTGTTGATGAAATTCAAATGTAAGTAAAAATGACTCCTATTATACATTTGAGAAGTGATTGCTTTTAAACTGAGTCTTAAATTCATTGATAATATCTTTAATAACAGTAATATATTTTCTTGTATAGAATTACTCATATATCCTTATCAACTGTATATGCATTATGGTGTACAGTCTATTACAATTCATAAATAAGAGAGTAAAATAAAAAGAATTAATATTAATCAATTCAATCATTGAAAAGATAAAGAATTTGAAAGACTCAACAACAAAAGATGATGTAATGAAAGCAACAACATTTGCAATGGTTATCAAATAACTTGTTTGTCCATGAAATTGAAAGAAGAAAATGTGTTTCCGGCAAAATAACAGGAAAAGAATAAAAATGTCGACAGATCACAGCAGGAGGTTAAAAAAAAGAAAAATTAAAACAAGAAATATATTGTAAATTAACAGAATCATTTTTTTTTCTTTTTTAATTAAAAAAAAAAAAAAATTGTTCAAAAAGCCTGTAAATAAAAATTTGCCAAGAGAATAAAAAAAAGGAAATGAAAAAACTGTAAATATTTTAATGAAAAAATTTTATCTTTTTGCCAAAAATTGCAAGCTTAGTTTAGATTTTTTTTAATTATTATGATACAAGATATTTAGATTTTTGAAAGTCTATTTTAAACAGTGAAAAAATAAAACAATACAACTGTTTCTCACATTGAGTTAGGTTCATAGATTTAACTTCATTCTATTTAAAATAAATTGATAATTTTCAATAAAGCCTTGTTTCTAAAGTACAAAGGCCAGCATTTTATTTTTAAATAATTAGCCAAAATTTCTTTTTCCTATCATTTTTGCCAATTAAACTTCATACCAAATGTTTAAAATTAGCAGATTATGTTTTTTTTTTAATTGATGTATTTTATAACTTGAGCAAAGTATTGGCATATTACAACTTTCTTCAATGGCTTTTATAGTAGAATATTAAAGTAGCTTTGGATTTAATAAGTGGACTTAATAAATTTAATAATGGTGTAACTATTTTTAAAAAATATACAAAGCATTTCTAAAATGAATATAGTTATATAACTTCTCTTTGTTAGTAAAAAGAATGGCACATTTTCTAATTTCATGGTGTTTGGGAAAGTTCAGATGATTGTGCCATATAAAGAAAACAATTATAGTTTATTGACTAAATATCAGTATTATTATGTGCCCTCAAAACAAGTTTGATAAAATATAAAACTTTTAATGGTGTCTGTGTGTATAAATGTACCTTCCTAACCACCTTTATAGATTAGGTAACCTTACCAAATAAAAGTACTTTGATTAATATGTGTATCTACAAGATGATCAGCAAAACTATTAAAAACATGAAACATTTGGATAAAAAAAAAAATTCATGCTATCAGAAACAATGGAGAAAGTCACAAAGAAATGTGTAAATTTGGAACTGACAAAAATCATGTGTGATGGATCTTAGCCTCCCTTGCCTTTTTGTTCGTCAACCAAACTTATTTCTATCGTCAAAAGAAACTGGAAGGAAATGAAACTCAGTATATTTTTTTTTTTAACATAGACACCTACATGACTTATGAAAAAGTAAACATGGTTTTCTTTGTACAAACATAGTAATAAAATTGAGAAATGGCAATTGGTTGACTTTTATAAAGTCACAGATTAGATGGACGTCATGAATTACATAAAATGATTGTGGGGTGTCTGTGTATTTTTTTTTCATGGCTGCCAAAAGCAAAATAGAAAGTATTATCCTGGATATTTTTATATTATGTTTAAAACATAAAAAAATTAAAAATGAAAAAAAAAAAAAAGCTGAAAACACTTCAACTGATTCTTTAAGGAAGACCATAAAGGAAAAAGGGGAAGTATTCCAAGCAAAGAGAGTGTGTTACAAGTATTTAGACACATGTTACTAGTGTAAAAGTTGATACTATGCACCTCTTGTTCCCTTCTTGTATGCTCTTACAACAACCTCATTCAGTAATGCTTTATATTGTGTGGCTCTTGGGCCTTAAAGCTGAAATTATATATCAGTCAATAGTCTCATCCTATACACATCTCCTTGTTGGAGGGCATGAAGCAGGGTCAGAAATAATCAGGGATAGAGATGCAAAATATACCACTGCATATGCAGGGACATAATACAAAGTAAATTTCTAACTGAAGACAAAATTATAAAATTGCAGTTTGAATTTTGATTGCCAGATCTTGCAACTACCAACTTTGTTCTCTAAATAAAGTGTCAATACCTAAATATTTAACAATGGCTAAAATCCTTTGACTTCATTGTTTTGTTCAAACTGAATGCTGGAATTTACAGTACAAGACGAAAAAAGTTAAATGTAGAATATACTGACCTAATAAACTGACAAAATTACAAAGAACAAATTCACCATATGAGTGAGGAGTCTAGACTTACTAACAGTGGACTGGAGTGGCCAGGCAACCTTTCTCTAAATATGTGTAGTTTATAGCAGGCATTCAGGTTTTGTAGTTTAACCAATGATGGTCAGTGAGCCAAATTTAAGTTTTGGGAACTGGACAAAAAATAAACAATCTTTCTTTTCTACTCAGTGGGAAAGAAATTTCACAAATTTAGCTGTGTAGTCAACCCTCTAACATTCATGGAGAAAATCTTTAGCAATGCTCTTACAAAAAGAACAATAAAGTGGACATTCACAAGTAAGTCTAAGACCACTTTTACAAGCGATTTGTAGAAACATTTTTACATACCAGACTACCAAATACATAGACCCTCTCCCATGTGAGCTATTACTTGTTTTCTATTTTCTCAGAGACATTATTTGTTTACAACAAATAAATTTTTATTGTTTGTTTAAAACCTAGTTCCTTCTCCATTTATTTCAGTAACCAACCAAGTTCACTTTGTTCATTTTGTCTATTCTTTGCTATTTAATTCAACAGTCACTGACCACTTGGCTGATGATCTTTCTATCAG